AAGGATTAAAAATAAAAAAGAGGGAGTTCACTATGCTTTCATCTCCGTCCCCCACCATTAGGGATGGTAATAGGTCTTTGCAGGGGTGGGGATCCTCTTCCCATTCTCGTCTTACTAATGGCTGGCATGGAAATCCCCGTATGGATTTCTGGTAGAGGACAAAAAATGTCCTCCATCCCTATTCCCCCAAGAAATGGTAGGTTCTATGGGTATATGAATTTTGTGTCAAATATTAAAATTATAAAATTTAATATAATTTTTAATAAATAAATTTTTTAACTTTACATAAAGAATAATACATGGGATATAAAAATAAAAACCTACAATAGTGAAAGCATGCAAAATTTGCACAAATTCTATGAAAAATGTATTACATAAAGAGATAAAAAGAGAGTAGAAATTTGAAATAAGTAAATGCATATAGTTTAACAAATCCATAAAAAAACAACATAAAAAGAGTAGAAATTTAAAACAAAACCGAAATTTAGGTTAGGTTAGCTAAAAATTAATTAGGTTTTGCATTTCATAAATATATTATAATTTATTAATATATATTTATATTATATATGAATTCTATAAAGACCTATGAAACAAAAAAAATTTCTTGTGAAATTTCATGAGAAAATAATTACCTTCATCCCCACTCTCCAAAAAGAGTATTTTTCAAATCTCTATCTCCATAATAAGATCCCACAAAGGTCCATAAGTTTCAAAACATATTGCCATCTCTATCCACCATTAAAAAGATAATCCAAATAAACTAGGGAAACATCTCCCTCACTCTCCTTCCTTTTACCTCCAAACACCCCAAATACACTATAAAATTAGTTGAAAAGATTAAGATAACTTATTTTTGAAATAGAAATGATATGAGATTATTTTATTTTATTTTTGTGTGTTTTATTGAAATAATAAGCGACATTGAGCATTAGGAATCAGAAAGAGCATTAAACCTAAAAATTATAATATAACATAGCTTATATATATTAAAAGGGTTTTTTAAAGATATAATTATTATATCTTTTTGTTATTAATTTATATTAAAATTTTTTTAAATAAATTAAAACAAAATCTCACACAAGAGAAATAAAATGTACTTAAATTTGTTAGTTCATTTAATAATTTTAATTTTATACTTCAATATAATTTAAACTACAAACACCTGATCTAGTGATAATTATCACAATGAAAAATGCAATCCCTTCCACTGAGCGGATTCGACCTGTCTTATAACCACTTGTTCAAAAAAAAAAAAAAAACCACAAAATAATCCTTAGGCCGAATTAGCAATGAAAAAGTCTATATTTTTACCAATTTTTCTCCTTTTCCTTTCGTTGCCCATTCATTAAATGAAAATTTTAGACTTTTCTAGACTAAAATGTCATTAGTGGCCGTAATAGAACCGAAAGTTCAGTGACGTCAAATTACGTATTCTTTCGCCCTCACAACGGTTAGAATCCGCTTTTGCGAATTTGTTTAAACAAAAAAACGAAAAATCTCATTAGTGGCCAGCCTAAATTCAAAAATTACATTTTGGTACTTTGTTGTCCACTTATTACTACTACT